TCCTGTTTCCGCTGGATCTCGAGGTCCTCCTCCGTGGGCTCAAACTCTTCAGCCTTCGCCTCCTCGTTGACCACTGTCAAGTCCGCCGTGCCGTCGATGACTGAGTCGAAAAATTTGCTCAGGGAATCGAACTTGTTGAGGCCTGTATGAACACTGAGTGCGGCCCTGGCAGACATGTTACCGGACAGCAAACCTTCGTAACGGAACGGCGTCGTCGACCCAGGAGAATAGATAAGGACCTTCGATTCCTTCTTCCCACCGACGTCAAAGCCCAACGACACAGCAGTCTTTCCCTTGCGATCCTTATGGTACCCGAATTCGAGCTGTCCGTCATATTTATTGGCCAAAACTTGCCATAAAAGCGGCACTTTCTTGTCTTTCGACAAGAGTAGCGCCCGCTTCTTGTCAACTGTCTGCAGCGCGCAGTTCAAAAGCTGCATCGACACTGTAGTGATGGCTCACCTTCTCAATCCACGGAACAACTTCTGCCATGTGGTACAGTTTGGCGTATGCGGTGGGTATTCGCCGCGTCGCAAAGTAGTAGAAGGCACTACCAGTGCGTTCGGCGCCATCGTAGACGACAGGAGGCAGGGAATTCCCGCGAGGGAAGAGCTGAACGCGGGTTAGCGCGTTCGGCGCTGCAACTAAGCGTTCACGCGCACCTTGATGGTGGGGAATCCCTGAACGCCCTGTTCTGAGCACAAGCGTTTGTTCTTGTCAGCGTCACAGTCGACGGCGTAGAGCGGAAGCAACGGATGAAGCCCCAAAGCAGCTTTGCTGTACTCGGGCGCCATTCGTTGGCAATGCTGGGGGAAGAATTTAATGGGGAAGCCTAAGGAATGAGAGAAAATACACATACCCCGCACCAAGGCGCTACGAAGGCGACCATACTAGTTTGCTGCGGATACCAGCTCAACAAAATAATTGGGTTATAACATTAAGCACCGACGTTTGCTTTCATAGCTTTCTTGAAACTCTTGGCATCGAGCATCTTGACCAGCGAGTCTGGAGGGAAGACCCCCGCGGAAACGAATGCCGGGACGAGAACTAGCGATATCAAAAGCCGGGAGGAAAACATGGCTACTGAGTTTCGGGATTCCAGTAGCGACTGCAGCCTTAAATAAGTCGATGGCTGGGAGAGAAGCTGACGTGGAAGCCGCAGTTCACGTGCTCTCGGGCCTCGGCAGTTGAGGGGAACGACCCGCCCCGTCCGGCACCCGTTGACGCGTCCCACGGGCGCGTAAATTTTCCGGTACCGCACTCTTGGTGTGTCTCGGCCGTGTATTTTCAGCGACTGAGCAAGAGAGCCTGACACCAAAATAATTAGCGAGCGAAGAAGTGACAACTCTCACGTGAAGTGACGGTTCCCGTTTCAACCGCAACCACGGGTTACTTGAACCCCCTCCTGGCTTTACGCAGTCAGCGCCGGAATTACCACCGCTTATCTTCATTGCCAGTTAAAAATATCAAACTTGGGGAGGAGCATCAATTTTTCAAATTACAAGTCGAACCGCAGCCATCCACTGGTTACAGTCCTTCAGAGCCATTGGAGAGTCACAGAAGGACTGTACCGGGTGTCCAATTCACCGCCAAACATCCTATGCGACTGCAAGGACGCGCACTAGTACACTTATGTCTGTCTCAACTATCCGATCGAGCACGAATACCGCGTGGCCTGGGATCCGTGTCCTCGAGGCCAGTCCATCACGCATGCGCACGGCTTCCTTATCCTGCTTAAGAGGCTTCCTCAAATATCTGGTTCTCCTAATAGCGCTCTTCCCAGCTACATACTGGACTTTTCCACATTCATTGTAGGTTCCTTCACAAAATCACATCGCGCTGGCAAACCACATCACCAGGATCGGCCAGTACGCTTCTTATGGCAGACTTCAACTTTGTTCTTTGCGGTATCGCAACCATCGCTGCCACTGTGGGCTATGCTTGTGTCAGAAAGTCCCGACCTCTTCCGTCGTATGTGGACCATGAAGATTTCCTGATCCAACCGAGTCTAGTCTTACTAGAGATCTTGATAGGAGGGGTATACGACCTGCGCAGCATATGCACTCTCATGAAGAACATTCTACCCTGGACTCAACTACAAACCCGCCGATGGACCCCGAAAAATTCATTCACAACCTGAATCCAAACGGCGAGGAGGTCCTCTCCCAACCGGAGTCGGAAGCGACTGTTGTCACCGAGAATAGTTCCCTGAAACGCAAGCGTGTACATGACCAAGAAGAAACGGAACCCGTAAGTTTGTTGAGCGGAAAGGTCGATAGGCGTTGAATTAGACTTTTCAGGATCTTGGTTATCCTGAAGTTTGCTATCTTTCGTCCGGGCTCGGATCCTCTCTCACCGCTCAACTCTCCAGAACCTGAAATCCATTTATCCCAACAAGCGTAGAAGCGGTTCTGTTTCGGATGAAGAAAGCGCGGTGAGTCTCTACTTATCAGGCGCCATCCCGTTGTTTGACTTGCAAGATAGCACGAAATGACCCTAGAGCCTGGTGACTCCTCTACCACCGAGGAGCCACACCCAGCTATCGACTCAGGTCAATCCGATCCAGTTTCAACCGATTATGTAAACCGAGAAACTACGGTGGGTGTTCATTTACTCCGTGACCATCTCTGTCGCTGAGACGCGTTCTTGTAGCACGAAATGATCCCAGGACTTTCTGGCGTTTCGGCCACCGAGGAACCACACGCTGCGCCAGACTCGGGTTCACTTTCACCGGTCACGGCAAAGCGTAATGTCGTTGAAGCCACTTCCAGCCCAGGAGTCCCCAAATTTGTTCCCATTTTCCCGGATATCCCGCGGTTTGTATTCCCCCAGACCCCTCCACGCATCACCGCACGTTTCCCTTCCAACGCAAGTCTATTCTGTCAAACAAGTGAGGGTATTCATCTGACTTGCTCTCATATACCTCAGCGGAGCAAGGCGTCGCCTGGATTTGCGAATTTTGCCGGATCCTCAACGCCATTTCTCTCCTTGGGCTCGGCGGACAGCAGACCTGGCTCCGGGAAACCGGTGTGGGCCAGTCTTCCCGCAGAGGCGCCTGCCCTTGAAGCCCCGACACCCAACGTGGACACTGAACCCGAAAGGAAGGACGATTCGCTACCTGCTCTCGCCGCACTGAAGTCCTCGACCCTCGGCACCCAGACCCGTCAGTGACCTGCAAAGACCATCCGCCTACGCTCAAACTTTCACAGATTTGACGGGAGAGGAAGACGAGGACGTTACCCTGGAGCTCAAGGGCGTCAAGCTTTTCGTGAAGCGTGGGGAGGACAATTTCTTGGGCGGGATGGTTGGCCACATCAAGCTCCTATCGCACAAGACGGGCCACTCGAAACGATTGCGTGCGTAAATGTTCCTGGGCTCTTGAAATTTGATTGATGAATACATCAGTTTTCCGGCGCGAGCCGCTGTGGAAGGTCTCCATGAACGTGCGGCTGCAGCCCACCGTCCGCTGCACCTTCGATGTGCAGGAAAATATCCTCCGCATCGCGCTCAAGGAGCTGGACTCGGAGAAGCTGGATTCCGAGGCATCACAGACTGTTATATATGCTTTCAAGGTGCGCACCCGACTGATTTTGTGGGACTTGAACCGTGAGAGGTACTGATTCGAACCGGCAGCCCGGTCGATCGTGTCGACGAGGAGATTTCCAGGAGTTTGCAGAGTCATTGCTAGCGCAGGCGCGGCAAGATGGCCAGTCGTAGTAGACATAGCACAAGTACTGTACTTATGTATGTAGAATCTATATGTTTTGCAACGAACAGGATAGTTGAAAAACTAATTGGGATTGACGTGAGAGGACTGCGGCATCGGATACATACACGACTCATGAGATTGACCTAAACGTCTGGCTGTCCGACACCTCCACCTCACTGGCAGGCTTGCTCACAAGGGAAAAAATGGCCGTCGCTTCCATTGAGACGTTGAATTAATTTCAGTCTGGGTAGAACGCGAATATAGGACACCGGGCACCCGAGGGGGATTTGAGAGGTTGGTTCGTGATACCAGGCTTCTGCGCCCAGCTGCAGTCGGGGCGCCTCCGCAAGCGTTTCTTCACAACTGAGGAAGAAGAAGAAGAATTAAATACTTAGAACAAAAATCCTGCGTGTGGCAATCTTCAACATGTCACCGTCAGCCCACCGCCTCCACGACTCTTTCCCATCTACCACACCACCATCTTGCACCCGCCTCGCCAGTCAAACAACAGCTTGACGTCAAACAGAAGCACCATTTCCTATCTTTCGACCAGCCCCTCCACAACGACGAGCGTTCCCACGTTTATGTTTCCCGGAGGCGTGCACCATGGATCCGCGTACTTACCTTCTTCCGGTTACTGGCCTTCTGCTCACGGTTCAGCAATGTTGAGTGTATTAGTGCGATTCATTCAGCACCTGGATCAGACCCGAAATTGGCCTTCGTAGATCTTCGCTGGCGTCGTCACTGAATAACCTGAAAAGCCATTATAGAACGCTCTCCAAGACGACATTGAAATGGTGGAGGAAACGAAAGCACGCGCAAGGCTCTCAAGGCGTCGGAAGCAGCACTAACCTCACTAACCGCTTAAATAGAGTTGAAAACACCCTTATTTATTAACCAGAGGTACTGGTTAAGAGTGCTACTTCCGACGAGGTGAAGACCAGAGACAACCGTTCAAGACGGCGCTCCAAGGTTGCGATAAACCCAAGACTCCCCGCAAGATTCTTCAGGACCGAGGAAGAACGATTGCGCACAGTTCGCACTTAAGTAGAACGTCGTGTGCATCCCCTGCCAGTGCACAGGGACTCTGAGAGAACACTAGCTCTGGGCTCATCAAGTCTCGAGCAACTCAGTTTGAGAGACACCTACAATGGTAGTTCAAGACCTCGAGAGCCAACATACGCGCAAGCCTCAGGACTTGTCGCAAGGGCGGCCGGAAGGAGAGATAGGACTCATAAAAGTGTAAAGATTGGCAGGTATCTGTAATGTATCACTGCCCTAGCTTATTATGTCTTGACTAGTATATCGGTTCAGTACACCCGCTTGTCAAAATCGATTCCGCGGGAGAGCAGGGTTCGACTCCCTGGTCGAGAGTTTTTCGAACGGTTTTTTTTTTCACTCTTCCCAAGCTCTCTTGCAAATGTTTACCGCACCGCACCAGTACTTGTAATTAACGTCCCGCCCTTTTTTTCACTCCAAGCAATAAATTTCGAATGAAATCTTTATTTCAGATCGAGGCTGACAAATACTCGAATGATCCGCCGGTCCGGCTCTCAGACCTGAACCACCACGCAGCCAGGATGGGCTATTCGTCTAGGTGGGACCAACTCCCCGGAGACAAAAACTCTTCCAAACATCGAAGTGGTGAGACACCTCGACCCATGGAGTACGCCCGATGAGACTCATCTTCATCCTTTTTCCGATCTATCATTTTCTGCTCACCTGGGTATGCACTGTCGCTCAAATGCGGCGTAAAAGAACGGTCTCCGTCGCCGGTTTCTCAGAGATACATTCGCGACGACAAGTCGTATCGCCACGGTTCTTCTTCCAGGCGCTCGGAATCTGAATCGCGCTCTCTTCGCTACGCCGAAACCGGACGTGAGGACTCAGGCCGGACTTTGGAGCAGTCGGACGTTGGTTTTGTTGCTTCACTGGGTCATATCTGTGTTTAGGTTTTCCTGCAGGTTAAACACGCCCGCAGAGATCCGGATGCGGACTTGGATCATCGCTTGCGAAACGACGGACGGCATTCAGTACGCTGCAATTTATTGAGCTTTCTGTACTTGTCTCATTTTTGATGCTTTAGAGCAAGCGGAAGCGAAGCTCGAGCCCCCGCTTGGAGAGAAATAAATACGATTCCTCTGTTAGTACATTCTTATATGTGGAAGCTTGCGCTATATGCTCATCCGTGCACAGCGTCGAAGCTCCAGTCCAAGACCTAGTCGCGAAAAGCGCCGCGCTGACTCACCAGTGGTACGTCGATCCCATCAACTCACCCAGAAATAATGGGTTTTGACCGGGGAAGGTACTATCATGTAAATCGTGATCTTCAACCACTATTCTATTAGGATCGGGACAAATATTCTCGCGACAAGGACTACGACGGCTCTTCGAGCGGTCGGAAAAGCAGCAAGAGAGGGAGCAAGGACAAGGAGGACGAGGACGAAGAAGACCGAAAGCGACGAAAACGGAGAAAGGAACGAGAACGCTCGAAAGAGAAGGAAAAGGATGAACGCAGGAGCATTTTGACCGGGAAAAAGGTACGTTGCTTTCATCTGGAGTCACGCAAGTCTCATACCGGCTTTCGACGAAGATCAAGCTCAAAGTCAAGAAGGAGAAAGGAGATGATGAACGAGAGGCGAATCGACAGGATCTACTTCGTTTCCTGAACTCTATGTAGATGCGGTGCCTTATCGCGTTTCTTATGAATATTTCTTTTTTTTGTTGTGTAAAACGAATTTGATACCGATCAACAACGACAAAGTCCTTGCCGTGACGACGCGCTGCGTTGCAGTCAACGGCCATTTTACGCGTTTTCTCGCCGGCAGCTCTTCTACTTCTACCACAACATGGACACAGACCTCATCAAGCTTGTAAACAAGCTCCAGGATACCTTCAATAACTTGGGTGTGCCTAGTCCGTCAATGGTCCATTGTGGAGCCTTAAACTTGTTTTTTTTTCACAGGGGGTGAGCTGGACATGCCCCAACTTGTAGTTGTAAGGAGGACGTGTGCCACTCCAGAGGATTTTAACTGACTCGTTGCTAGGTGGGCAGTCAATCAGCAGGAAAGTCCAGTGTCCTCGAGACGTGCGTCGCCTCAATCTCTCTGCTTTTTTCTCTCTCACATTTTTGCGTGCAGCATCGTTGGAAGGGACTTTCTTCCCCGTGGTCAGGGCATCGTGACGCGCCGGCCACTAGTCCTCCAATTGATACACACTCCCGAGTCCAGCGATCCCTCGCCCAGCAGCCCAACCTTCCGAGAATGGGCGCAATTTCTCCACATAGACAAGAAGTTCACCGACTTTGGCGAGATTCGCAAGGAAATCGAGCAGGAGACTTTTCGGGTCGCCGGCCAAAACAAGGGTGTCAGCAAGCTCCCTATTTCGCTCCGAATTTACAGTCCGGATGTCCTGGACTTGACTCTCGTCGATTTACCCGGTTTGACTAAAGTCTGTCTCCCTACAAGCCTTTGCACACAAAAGTATTGACCGTTCCGTGCTCCAGATTCCTGTCGGAGATCAACCAAGCGACATTGAACGGCAAATTCGGAATCTGGTGCTGGATTATATCTCAAAACCGAATAGGTGTGTGTCTGCACCTCGCTTTGCCACAAAGTGCTCATGCGTTGTTCTGAAAGCGTCATCTTGTCTGTTTCACCAGCCAATGTGGACCTGGCCAATTCGGAGTCTCTCAAGCTCGCCCGCCAAGTCGACCCGCAAGGCCGCCGGACAATAGGTGTTCTGACGAAGTTGGACTTGATGGATGCTGGGACCAATGCTTTGGACATTCTCACGGGCCGCGTCTACCCGCTCAAACTTGGTTTCATCGGTGTGGTAAACCGCAGCCAGCAAGACATCAACGGGGAGAAGAGCATGGAAGCGGCGCTGGCTAGCGAAACCGAGTTCTTCAATCACCACCCCGCATATCGAAATATCGCTCACAAGAACGGGACGAAGTACTTGGCGAAGAGCCTCAACCAAGTACGTTGCATCTGTCTGGGATTTCAGAAACGACCTTGACCTGTAGCATAGGTTCTCATGAATCATATTCGGGACAAGCTCCCGGACATGAAAGCTCGGCTGAACACCTTGATGGGTCAGGCGCAGCAGGAGCTCAACTCGTTTGGAGATTCAGATAGCTTCGGAGACCGAAGTCAGGTCCGTGATCGACTCCGATCCCCCCATCCCAAGCTCAACGATCCTTGCAGCAAGGAGCTCTCGTTCTGCGACTGATGACGCAGTTTGCGCGCGACTTCGTTTCTTCGATTGAAGGAACAAAGGTTGATATTTCTACAAAAGAACTCTCGGGTGGTGCTCGGATATACTACATCTTCAACGATATATTCGGACATGCGCTCGATTCAATTGACTCAACGCAAAACCTCGAGAACCAGGATATCCGGACTGCAATTCGCAACTCGACAGGTCCTCGTCCGAGTCTCTTCGTCCCTGAAATTGCGTTCGATCTCCTGGTCAAACCTCAGATCAAACTGCTAGAGGCTCCAAGTTTACGCTGCGTTGAGCTTGTGTACGAGGAAATGGTGAAGATTTGCCATAATTGCACCAGCACTGTAAACACCTTTGGCACATATCACTCGTCTTTGGCTGATCCCCTTTCAGGAGCTGCAACGGTTCCCTGGCTTACATGCCAAACTAATCGAGGTTGTTTCCGAACTGTTACGGGAACGCCTAGGGCCTACATCCGAATATACGCAGAGTTTGATCGCCATACAGGCGGCATATATCAACACTAACCACCCTGCGTTCATCTCTGGATCCGCTATTGCTGCACAGCAGGCGAGTTCGCCTCCGGCTCCGCATGTGCCTCCACGAGTGCGCCCTTTCGCCGCCCGCCGCTTTCCTTGTAACTGAGTGACGATTCTTCGTAGCCCGCATCTACCGAGCCGACGAATGGTACTGGAACAGACGATGACGCGGACTCGTCGGATGAGAACGGTTTACCTAACGGCATCTTCCCCCACCGCGGCGACAGCCGTTCCGTGTCCGCGACAATGCACGACCGTGGCCGGACATCAATTGGCTCCACCCCCGCGTTGAACACCGCGTTAGCTGTGCCAGCAAGAAAGTACCCGAATCAGCAACGACCCCATTCTGCCATGGCGCAGACCCACCGTGGTTCTCCGCCGTCGGCACGGGAAACTTTCTTGAACTATTTCTTTGGCCAGAATGGACCAGGTCCAGTTCCTGGGTCCAGTGTGGGAACTACTGGGCAGGCGCGCCCCAATGGGAGCAGCCAGAGCGTAGTGCCTGTGGGACGGGATGTGTCTGGAGGAGAGAGCTCTACGATGACAATCGCATCCGGTCTTATGGCGAGCCAACGTAACATTGACGGAAACAATGCAGCGTACGACATGAAGAGTCTCGGAAAACATATCGAAGCCGTGAGCATGGCGATCCATTCCTATTCGTATACCTAATGCATCACCAGATTCCTTCCGATGGGAACCGCCTTACCCTTCGAGAAGAGATGGAGACGTCTCTCATCCGCTCCCTCATCGCGTCGTACTTTGGGATCGTCCGGCAGAGCATCCAGGACCTCGTCCCCAAAGCGATAATGCACTTCCTCGTCAACCATACGTCGTATCATGTGCAGAATCGCCTCGTTGCATCTCTTTACAAGCCTGAGCTATTCCAAGACATGCTTCACGAGGATGAGGGGCTGGTGGCGGAGCGGGCAAGAGTAAAGGCGCTCCTCGATGCGTACAAGGAAGCGTTCAAAACTCTTTCAGACGTCAATGTTAAACCGACATAATTATACTTATATGAGCATTCACGTCACCTCCACTCATTACATGCATTTCACGCATTTCACGTCTCTAATCTACATACGCTACGCTACTCCCCTGTGTCGGATTTCTCTCTAGATACTGTACTCCAAATCACTTTGATTGCTCTCAACTGTTCACAGAAAAGGGAGGGGGTGGAAGGATCCACAAAAGCAATGCCATTCCGTCTAACGTATCACACAGGCAGGATAACAACCAAAACACGACGAACCAGTAGTAGATGTAGATAGGCGACAGAGTAGCAGCGGGATCCCGAGCATGGGAGGGGAGCATGGAGCGAGCACAGGCAGTCCAGTCCAGATTTCGATGCACATGGGCATTTATGAAGGGCTAGCGTCTTCGGTGGCTGGCGTTTCAGGCTGGGGCTCTGCTGGCGGCTTGACTGCGACCCACTTTTCCTTGGCATCGTCCTTTGCGGAGTCATTCGCTTTGTCCTCCTCCTCCTCCTCTGAAGTCACCGACTCTTCAGTGTCGGCCTCCATCCCGGTTGTGGTCTCAGATTCGGAACTGGAGGAGGAGGACTCGTTGGAAGCGTCGGCGGCGGGGTCAGCCGCTGCGGCTGCTGTC